AGGCATATTCATTGCACTGTGCGTGTTATGGTATGGAGTGCCATTGCATATGACAGCAGGTCACGAGTAGTGTTCATTCGAGGTAGCATGACTGCCCAGCGCTATATCCACGAAGGTTTACAACAACATCTGCTTCCCTTGTTGGAAGCATTGCAAGTTCCATTTTTTCAGCAGGACAATGCACGACCTCATGTTGTACGTGTTAGCTTGGGCTTTTTAGAAGCGTAAGGATTAAATTTGCTTCAGTGGCCTTCTCGATCTCCAGATACTTTCACCATCGAACATGTATGGGACATGATGGGCAGAAGGTGGCAAAGTTCACCGCATCCCCACAAACATTGGAGGCTCTCCGAAATCAAATTCTGATTTCCTGGGATACTATGCACCAAAAATACATCAATCACCTTATCCAGTCAATGCCGCGACGACTTAACGAATGTGTAGCGAACAGACGAGCTTCAACACATTAAGGCGGCTCCGACGCAGTGAGTTTCAAGCCATTTACAAGGGTTCAGCTGCTTCAAAACTGACACTCCATTTTTCAATATTTTTGAATGAAATTCATACAGTATGTTGAGAAGATAATTGCCCAGGGTGCTAGAGGAGCACTTTTTGAAATTTTGTTTTTGCACAAGTTTTATGACGGGTTGAAGTGCGCACTTTTTCTGTTCAACTTCGAGATTTTTTTAAAAAGAACCTAGTGAAAAAAATGAAAAAGTGGCTCTATAGCACTCTGTGGGGTTTTGTTTTCAGCACTCTGAGAAAATTTCATCCAAAAATATCAAAAAATAAAGCGTCAATTTCGAAACGCGCAAACCTCTACAAATCGTATTTTGGACAAATTTTGTCTGTTTCGTGCTGCCAAACCAAGCGTTGGTGGCCCTATTTCATATAATATCGCGTAGATAAGTCGTTCTTCAAATAGGTACTCATAATCGCGATCGCTGATACTCCTCGATTTTAAAGCCGTTTTACTTCCCACGTCATTGGCGAGGAAGTATTGTAATCGCGAAGAATTTCTAAAATGAGATGTTATGTTTTTTTAAGTCATATGACATCTACATCACGAAAAACTGTATCACTCATCATCAACTTGGAAATTACCGCTCGGATTTTTATGAAATTTCCACACGCGGTTACTAGTATGCCAAAGCTTTGTAGTTTTAGTCCAGTGGCAACGGTGCTATAGGCAAAAAAGAAAAAGTAACAATTGCTGAAACTCCGTTTTTGACATTTCAGGAGTTCCTAATCATTGACATAAAAAATTGTACTGCTTAAAAAGGGGGGGTTGAAATCAGTGAAACACGTTCTATTACTAAGTAGCTTCTGATCTCAGTGATTACAGGAAATTTAAGTATCGCAAATCCGACGAATAATGTGCTCACGATTTCAAAAAATCGGTACCTGCTCTATAGGTTTGACACCAACAGCCAACAGATCTGCAACTACCGACAGTAGGGAAGAATAAATTCGGATATCACTCCAGTCAAGTATAGGGGGATTTAGCGTGGAACTTTAAAATTATCGATATCTCAAAGAAATATGTTTTTGAGAATGATCATTTGGTAGATTTTATACCTGCATTTTCATTTAAATTTCATAACCCGTGAAATGTACCCATTTCGCCGTTACCTTTTGTGTTCTGCAATTTGTGATGTTTTTCTGGATATAAGCATGCCATAATTGCCTAGGGTGCTATCAGAGCTTTTTACAAAATTTTGTCTTTGCGCAAGAATTATGGTGGGTTAAAATGCTCACTATTGGTGCTCAACTACTTGATATTTTAAGAAGATCCTAGTGGATAAAATCGAAAAAGTGGATCGCTGGCACCCTATGGACTTTGTTTTTAGCACGCTGCAAGAGTTTCATTTGGAAATAATAAGAAGTAAGCTGTCAAGTGCAAATCGGTTTTTGGGCGGAATTCATCTACTGTTTCGTCCTGCCAGTCCAAGCGACGCGACGGTGCGTTCCGACTAAGAAAAAATGTATTCAAATAATTTTATATCTTTCCTAAAATAAATTCAAGAACTCAAATTCTAATTCGTTTATTCATGTCAATAAACACAATTACGTTTACAAGGGTCGTGTGGTAGATGGTAACAATTGAACGAGGGTCATAAAAATATCTTATGCCCTCAAAATAAGAGGAAACAGTTAGGTAGTTTTTGCAAAGCAATAAATAGGTAGGTTTATACCTGGATTTAAGTACATGTCTTGACTACTGTAATAGGTAGATGGAGGTGTTGCTGCCAGAAATGGATGTATGCGATCAATCAACAAACCACAAGATTGAACTGCCCTGTCCAATGATTTTTGTATTGCCTTTTTTATTGCCTTACTAGAAAACTCTGTTGGGTATATGATCGAGTTTACTAGAACTTTACAGCTTGTTGTCTGCCTTCTTCTACAAACTTCACCAAATCGATACGCTGTCAACCTTATCCTCCGATGAAGACGCCACAAAGCACAGTCCGATGATTTGGTGACTTGTTCGATATGCAAAATCTTCAATTAATATTATGAAAGGTTTCTTTTTTAAACTTTCCATACACCGTTGTAGACGAAAAAGCACCGATTATTAAGTGATAATAAAAATAATCAAACTATACAGTATACGCACTTTTCTAAAATAAACAACTTGGAACAAAACCGCGGTCAAAACCAACGCGTTCAAGCGATTCAGGTAACTGACGTCATCAACCCATGTGTTATCTTGAACCATATTATGGCCGCGGTACATATAGTCAAAATCATGAAAGATGACCATTACGTCATACCATAAATTGCACTGAAGTAATAAATGGACGTACGTCGATGATAAAATCACGATGTCAGGAACATAATGACAACAAATTTATATTATGATTTTGCGAAGTTGGGTTATTTCACTGACTATTTTGATTTCCATTTTATTTCAAGGTTTTGAGTGATACCTTAATAATAATTTTAGTGGGAGTTTTTGTTTTGAAAAAACAGTTATGAGTGGAATACCTTAAGACAGGAACACCAAAGGCCAAAGTAAACAACCTAACCTGCTTTAACATAACCTAACTGTCCATCTTTCAAATATGATCGATCATGCATCATGAAAACATCGTCTATCTCTGTCGGATACATGCAAATTAGCAATACAGTTTGTTTAGACAATAAAATTTTGTTTGTCTCTGTCTAACATATCTGAAACTTCATTAAAAATATTCGCAAATAACATGGAAATTTTGGTTATTCGCTTGGATTTGATTTATGTCAATTTTTCTGACAATATGTTGGTTTCTTATGACATTAGGTTTTCCTAAGATGTCAACTAGGAACTAGCTGTCGTTAATTTCAGGCGCACTTGTTGCAGGCGCGGAATGAACCATTTGCACATTCTCAGCTATCTAGTCAACAAGTCAATTTTTATCGGTTTTCTGGCATTATATATGTTTTTTACGTAATAACCGTGCCGGTACGCGGCATTGGAATCTGGCAGAGAACTCGGTACTCGACCTTTTTAAAAAAGTAGTAGGTACCCGATGCATTCCTAAAAATTAAGTTCGGCTCACAAATATGCGTAATTTCCACACCTATACTTTAAGATATCTTCGAAGATTTAATTTCATTTGAAAAGACTGATGGTTATTTTTATGGGACCGAATCGAATCGTTACCGTTTGGTTTAATGCGTTTTACGAGGGTGGTCCCAGAAGTACCTGACCCAACGAAGAAAACAAAAATTATGTAAAAAATGTATTTATTTTTCAACATGATCTCCTTTGAGCTCTATACACTTTTCCCAGCGATGCTCAATACGTTCGATACCCTTTTTATAATAAGAACTGTCTTGCTCCTCAAAATAGCCATTAATAATAATAATAATTTTATAATAAGAACTGTCTTGGTCCTCAAAATAGCCATTAACTGCCGACATCACTTCTTCATCGTTAGAAAATCTTTGACCACTGAGGAGGCTGAATCTGGTGAATAGGGTGCATGAGGTAGCAATTCAAACTTTAATTCGTTAATTTTGGCCATTGCAATAACGGATTTATGAGCATTGTCTTGATGAAACAACACTTTCTTCTTAACCAAATGCGGCCGTTTTTGCTTGATTTCATCGCTTAAACTTTGCAGTAAGCTCGCATAATACTCGCCGTTGATAGTTTTACCTTTTTCAAGATAGTCAATGAAAATTATCCCACGCGCATCCCAAAAATCCGACGCCATAACCTTTCCTGCAGATGAAACGATCTTCGCTTTCTTTGGAGCCGGTTGTCCCTTTGGAGTCCATTGTTTTGATTGTTCTGTTGTCTCGGGTGTGAAATGATGAACCCATGTTTCATCCATGGTTATGAAACGTCGCAAAAATTCTACTTTGTTGCTGTGAAACTTCGCTAAACACTCAATTGAACTGTTCTTGCTCGATTGTGCGCAATCGCGGCACCCATCTTGCACACAGCTTTCTCATGTCATGTCCAAATTTTCAGATAATATGCGATGAACCGCACTTTTTGAAATGCCTACTATGTCTGCTAGCTCGCGCACTTTCAGTCGACGATCATTCATTACCGCTTTGTGAATTTTCTTCACCATTTCTGGAGTCGTCACCTCATTTGGCCGACCACTGCGATGCTCGTCTTGGCAGCGGATACGGCCTCGTTTAAACTCTGCTACCCAATATTTTGCTGCTGTAAACGAAGGAGCAGACTCACCCAGAGTAGAATCCAGTTCAGCTTTTATATTGGATGGGCTGAGGCCTTTGAAATAAAAGCCTTGTACCATATAACGATGACCAATTTTTACAAATTCGCTGAAAAGGTTGGCTGCCAAACAAAGACTAAACAACGTGGCGTCTTCAAACTCGACACATATGCTTTATAGGTTGCATACTCTCTAATACAATGATATTTTTCAAACAACTATCGCTATCTCTAGGTTAGGCCGGGTACTTCTGGGACCAACCTCGTAGGTGCTCTTAGCGCCCTACTCGGGAAAGTTCACGGTTTAGTTTCAAATCAAAAGAGAATTATCAGTTTGAAATTCAACAATGTCCTAACTTAAATACCCTGCTAACACCGCCCTAATTTTATATCAAACTTACACTCCTAGCTTTTCGTTGATACCCGCCCATGGGCATATTCCAGTATTTATCTGAATTTCTCGAATAGGCGTGGCAACGTCGCGTGTACTTGTCATTCCTGTTTCCGTTGCCACTACATTTTCTGCCTCGTGAGATAAAGTATTTGGCTTCAGTTGGTCGTGCGGCGACTGGTTCGTCAAGTTTTTAGTGAAGAAATCTTCGCGAGTGTAGTGTGATACGTACCTATTTATTTTAACAAACTTTAACGAAAATGAGCTGGCAGGATTACGTAGACAAACAGCTCTTAGCCTCGAGATGCGTAACGAAGGCTGCGATCTCCGGACACGATGGAAACATTTGGGCCAAATCAGACGACTTCGACGTAAGTAAACTGTCTGTTTACCCTAAATACGATATTTCTACGTTAAACCACTTCTTTCTCAAGTGGACGTCTTATCATGACAGACAAAAGAAAGCAAGGGCTTGGTTACATTATCTTCCTACGTATTCAAATTTAGCTACCAAATCACTAATGCGACAGTGAATTTGTGGGCAGCACTATGTGTACAAACCGACAGAAGCGAAATTTCAAGCTAAAATCGTCTAAATACACGTATTTTTTGCAACAGTTTGACAAAAGTAGCCGGTTTCAAATACAAGATGGCCGCCTCTGAATGCGACGTGTTGAAAATCACTTGCTGTTCTGATACGTTGATAGGTATCTATTTGCTGGGCAGCCACTCTCATTTCGTTTTTGGTTTCGTTACAGTAGCAACAAATTCGACTTTATTGCTATACTTCCATCATTTAAGTCAGATCATAGCGGCTCCGGAACAAGTGACTAATCGTCCAGTGTGTATACCGTCTGGATCTCTGGATCTAGAGTTTCGACAGCTTGACATTCTTCTGGTTACAACTTCATATTTTTAATTACATTGCGTGTTCTAACTCTATATGTGTACACGTCTCCGCAATTAGAACTTGTACCTAAATAACTTGCTGAATATCATCTTTCACGTCGTCGCGATATTTCTTTGTTTCCCCTATGCACCATGCTTATCACATCGTGTAGATCCAGTGCCTGGCTGGCACTTGTCAAGGCATGAGGAATAATCTGTATTTTAGAAAATATTATTTAACCTTATTTTATTATCTTAATTATTGTGTAGTGCCTACCTACACATCCTGTTGTTTTTTTACAACCTGTCAGACAGGTAAATAGAAAGACAACAGAGTTAACAAGTTCCGGATATTAACAAGATTTGTCATAGAACTTTAGTTGCAAGAATGATGACACATTTTGCCTATCATACCTACTGACTCTACCTAAAATTCATTGTAATGATGTTGTATCAAGGAGTAATTATAATTACTCTTTAGTTAGGTATATGTTGTATTTGATAATCCTAGCCCACATCCATGCTATCAAATGTATAGAGATACCTCCACGATTTTTATGTTTACTGGTATTCCTAAAGTTTATTTTGTTCAACACATCAATATCAATGTCATAGGGAGGGGGAGGGTTAGCGAACGGGTGAACCAGCTTCGTGAACCTTGATCATTGAACAATTTTGCTAGGTTGCCATATGTTTCTTCAAATCTGGATATACAGGAATGGACAAAAGTATATAGATAAATATGAATATTTACCTAAATACCTTTTGAAAACGAATTCGTACTTCATTGATCCATAAACAAATGCGTTATTAGTAGAAAAAATAAATCCCTTGTTTTTATATTATCTGCAATGAACACAATACAAGTCTGACGATAAGCACTTTTGTATGAGGGACAAAAATATATAGACAAATTCTTTTCAACATTAGTTGTAGTACAGTTTCTTGTTAGAAGAGGATTAGTCTGTGTTCATCAAGTATTGTGGAATAAGTTGAGTGATTTTAAGACCAAGCCGCGTGGTCCAGAAATTTCTTTTTTCGACGTGAAAACTAAGATCATTGAGTTATACAAAGATGGTCAATGTCAAGTCGACATTGCCAAAAATTTGAAGTGTAAAGCAGTTTGGGCAATATTGAACAAATATAAACAAAAAGGTATCTTGGAAGCCTCTAAGAGAAGTGGTCGGCCTAGAAAACTAAATGCTAGATCAGTTAGATGAATAAAAGTCCAAAGATCTGTTTAAAACCCAAAGACAAATAAAAGCTAAAATCTAGACAAAAGGAATTGTCACTGTTTCTACGAAAACTATAAATAGAAGATTAATCCAATTTCAGTATGTTTGGATCAGATGGTGTTCATCACGTTAGACGTCCTAGTGGACAAAGATTGAACCCCAAGTACACTTTGCCCACTGTCAAACATGGAGGCGGGTCTGTTATGGTTTCGGTGTGCTTTTCGGGGTTGGGGATGGGACCTTTACATAGAATAGTTGGCATTATGGATAAGTTTGTATACACAGGCATACTAAAGCATGTCATCTTACCTTATATGGAAGACAATATGCTGATAAGATCAATCTGCCAGCAAGATAATGACCCGAAGCACTCTTCAAATCTCGCAAAGAAATTCTTTCTGGATGAAAAAATACGAGTTCTCAAATGGCCTTCACAGTCTCCCGATATAACTCCCATTGAAAATCTATGGGAATTCTTAGATAAGCAAATACGAGATAAAAATAATTCAAACAAGGATGAACTTTTTGCGGCTTTAGAGCAAAAGTGGAGACATATTGATGAATCTTATATCAAGAAACTTCTACAATCTATGCCGAGACGTTGCCAGGTGGTGATTGATAATAATGGTTATGCTACAAAATATTAACACAAACATGGTTGGCTTTCTATAATTCAATGAACTTTGTGTCTTTTTTCTATAATTGTTTTGTTTGTCTATACATTTTTGTCCTTCATAGTTTTTTTCAATTAATTTTTTATTGAAGGGAGTCTAATGAATTTATTTATGTATAAGTGAGTATTATGCTATATCGAATTATGTATACAGGCTGGTGTATTAATAAAACAAGTTAAAAAAGAAATACAGTACAATATTAATTTGTCTATAATATACTCTTGTCCATTACTGTAGATGAGGTTTCATGTTTTATTCTTTTGCCATATTAAACAAAAAGCAATAGTTCACAATTTCTTGATTAGCTATGATAATTTTGACACTGCCATGATGATTTGAATATAGAAGATCAATATAATCAGATGTCAAAATTATCATAGTGAATCTGGTACCTATATCATCCCAAGGCGCCATCGAAATCAATTTCAACAGTTGAAACTCATTTAGAATCAGGCCCTTGGTTTTGTGGTCAATTGTCGTGCTTTGATTCTATGATTTTGGAACATTTCTCGCGCGTACATTTCTTATCGCTCGATTTCTAGATTTTGTCACGAGAGCCTGGCTACAAGCGCTACGGAAGATGTTGAAACGGATTATCGTCTTGTCATCATCGATAAGGCTATACCGTGGCAGCTCTATTGACCAAAACCCTATCTCTAGTCTTCGCGCTTAATGTCAAAATCGAAAAAAATAAGCAACCTGTCATGACTGTCAGTACTGTCAAATTACCACGGTTTGCTTTAGTGGTCATAAATCAAATCCAAGCGAATAATCAAAATTTCTGTGTTATTTACCGCGGCTATAATGCGGTTTAAGATGACACAGGAGTTGATGAGGTCAGTTACTCGAATCGCTTGAACGCGTTGGTTTTAACCGCGGTTTTGTTGCAAGTTGTTTATTTGAGAAATGTGCGTATATAATCTCTGATTATTTTTATTATTACTCAATGATCGGTACTTTTCCGTCTACAATGTGGACAGTTTAAAAAAGAAAACTTGCATAATAGATATTAATGGGAGAAATGTTTTTTTTTCAGAAGTTATTATTCAGGTGTTAAATAACTTGAGAAAATCTCTCTTAAACAAGTTTGTCGTGAAAATAAAAGATTTTTTAAACTTTTTTGCATGTCTAAGAAAACATTTATTGATTTAGCAGAAATTATAGGAAAAAGCGATGAAAAGAGATATTAGCAAAACCGTATACAGGCGGTGGACACTATCCAGTGGGTTTATATGGCGATATTTTAATATTCTTGTAGTATATGGCTACACAGGATACTTAGTTATGCATAGGAACTAGATTTAAAATGTCTCCAACAACAGTAATGAGTATAATAATAATAATAATAATAATAATAATAATAATAATAATATTTATTCACTCAATGTAGAAAGATAACAAACAATATGAGTAAATAAATATAAAATCAAAACAGGCCCAATAGAAGGCATCGCCTGTACATGGACCAATAAATTTAAGTTGAAACTGTAGAATGCAAATGACAAAAAAGGACAAAAATTAGCTACAGTAGATTATGTATTTAGTTGATGTTCGTATTTATGAGTTTATGAATTTCAGTCCTAGATATAGAATGTAGCCACTTTTTTAAATTTCTTTTGAAACAATTTCCGAAACGTAAATCTTTTAAGTCTTTAGGTATAATTTCATAAAATTTAGGCGCTAAATAGAGATATGATCGCTGCATTATAGATTTATGCGGTTGAGGAACTACTGTGCCACGAATTTTGTACCTGGTATAATGATTATGTTTAATTTTTTGGTCGGTGTTTACAAATTTATGGTAGTGAGTGATACTGTGTAAGAAATAAAGCTGTCTTATATCATACATTCGAACATCTGCGTATAATTTTTCAGTGGGATAAAGTTTCGGTTTTTTAAATATCATTTTTAGAATACTTTTTTGAAAAACATCTAAATTATAGATATGTGAGGAACATGCAGCTCCCCATGCTAATATACCATATGTGAGATGAGGCTCAATCAGTGCATGGTATAATGTTCGAAGATATTTTTCTGTCAATATATTCCCAAGGTATTTAATTTTTTAGGATACAAATCTAACTTTCTTTAAAATATAATTGACATGGATGTCCCATCGTAAGTGAGGATCCAAGACCACTCCAAGGTATTTTATGTTGGGCACTCTATTAATTTGCATTTTTTGATCATTAATATTGAAGGAGAAATTTGTGTAATTTGGCAGATGTCTAGCATAAGATCCAAACGGTAAAAAATGTGTTTTAGAGTAGTTAATGCTTAATTTTCTACTGTTAAACCACCGAATAATTTTAATAAAATCATTTTCAATTACATTTTTCAGATCAGACCAGTCAGTGCCTTCATATAATATTGCAGTATCATCTGCAAAACCAGTTATTTTGCCAACACAATTAATTTGGAAAATATCATTTAAATATATATTGAATAACAGCGGACCTAAGACAGTTCCTTGTGGGACACCACACTTAATATACATTTCTTTACTAAATGATCCTGATATCTGCACAGATTGTGGGCGATTTGACAAATAACTTTCGATCAGTGAGTACGCGT